GCATATTTAGAGTGCCGCCATGCCGCACTGACACTATACATTTACAAACATCCATGTTTTACACGGGATTAGAATCCGAGAACTTCGGTACCGTAGTAGGCGCCCCCTAGCCACTATACCCTCTGGGCGACGTTTCTTTTCCTGTGTAATGTGGATATGAGTCATCCACGAAAGCATTTCAACTCGTTCGCATAAAGCCAACGTATGTTTTAACATAATTACATAAGACATGCCTAACCTAAGAACGAACTGGCTGTATGGGAGTTTTCGCGGTTTCATCATTTGTAATAATATGAATATGAGACAGTCACCTTCAGAACTCCCCTAAGAAGGCGTCGCTTCCCGAAGATAGCCTTTTCGAGTTGACGTAATAAATCTAGACATCAGCATCGTAAATATTTACGTTGCACAATTCAGTTTCATTTCGTACTGGAGTTTACATTCTCTCCAGTTTTAGCAGGTGAATACTTTTTTCTCACTTTTCTATACATTGTATATAAAGAAGAATGTTTGTGTATTTTAATAATATATAAGAAGAATGTACATGGCGATTAACTATGTCACTACTACAACTATCCTCGCAAAACTTTCTACAATTCTACCTGGGTTCTGATAAAGTTTTTTTTCTGGGTTTTTTTCCGGAAAACGACTTCCACGTTTTCCGGAAAAAAAAGTCTAAAATCAGAGATATTAATTAAAAACTCTGAAAACGCCAACTTTCGCGCACATTTTTCCGAGTGGCAACAGTCATGCACGTTGGAGATAAAAATCTGCTTTATTTCGAGAAGTGTTGTCACTGCTCGCTTTCAAATCGTAGAGTTCGTTAATAAAAAAAATGTAAGTTTTACGATGAAATAAAAATAGCATTGCCAATTATTAAATAGATTAGTCACAATTCTAAAAATTCCTTGGAAGCCATTTTGACTATTCTTATCTTCGTAAAGACTTTAGTCAGACGAGATATTAATTAAAACTCTGAAAACACTCATTTCTCCGAGTGGTAATACTCTGGTGCGCTGGAGATAAAAATGCTTTATTTCAAAATGTGTTGCTACTGCTCGCTTCCAAATCGTAGAGTTTGTTAATCAAAAATTTAAAGGTTTTATAAAATATCTGTATATACTTGTACGAATGTATGAATGTACAACGATGTACGAATGCGCATCGACACAGGACTGCTACAGCTTCAATGATCTCACATGAGCTATAAGCCCACGTTTCACGGTCTACAGTTGTTCGAGGGCTTCATGAAATAAGGCTGTATGCCAGAAAACCTGTTGTTTGTGTGTCACTGACTGCAGCGCATAAGAGAGCGTGTTTTGCATAGTGCAGACTTCATTGTAAACTTCATTGAAGAACTATTCTTTTTACACCCAGGTGAGTCGAGATTCGGGCTGGATACTGTTTCTCGGCCTACCTCATCTGCAGAGAGCCTGGAGCACGACGCTATCCCTTCCTTATCAGGGAAAAGGAATGGTGGTGGAGGTGTAACTCTTTATTATAGTGAAGGTGTAATTGCATTTGCAGGTATTATGTTGGATAAGAGCAAACAGACAAAGGCTCTCTGACCTCTATGAGACAAAGAGATGGCTCGGCTGGTTCACTTTTACCTGGAAAATGAGGATACTTGCCGCATGGATAAGTCAACCAGACCTCCTATCCTTGAGCGTGTCTAGGAGGCTCTTCGGAGGGAAATTTCACCACCTGCCTAGAACCACCCTAAAGTTAAAAACCGCTTCGCAAGGAGTGAAATCACCTGCCACAGGGACTATTCAAATCTATCCCGTCCAGTACACCATCTCGCTGCGCGACCTGTCTGCTTGTGAGATGGGGAATACCCCATATTAGACTCATTTTCAGTTTGATATGACAATATTAATTTTGGACAAACCTGCACTATGACTTTTACTGATATATAAAATATATATTCATATATAAAATGACTTTTGAATGGTATGTATCTTTCTCTTATAAATATATTATTGCGTTTTTCTTTTCTGACACCATTTGTTACGTTTTTTTCTTCCTTCACGTTCGTACGAGGCTCGTAGATTTGGAGTGAATAACGACGACACTTGGTAAAGTATCGAAACACACTTTATTTACCAATATTAATCAGGGGCAGCTCCAAAACACATTTACAGTCGTCGACGATCTACTATAAACCCGCTGACACGATCAGTGTCACAGCCAATAGGTTATCAGGCTATCACGGTGGAGACAGCTTCACGGCAAAGCACTAGAGTACAGCTCTCGACTCTGCTCGGTTGTTCTCGGAACTCCACGTACTGAGACTCTCCACGCCACAAGTCGCGATGCATTAAAAGGCTCCCTCGATGCACTCGACGGCGCTAAACTTCGAGACACTCGCTCAATGACTGACTATCAGCTCGCTAGACAAGGCACACACACTCACTGACTGCGGACCAGCAGGGTTTAAATAGCTTTTGGCTTGTGTTCGAGCACATTCTGGGCTAAACCGGTAAGAATTCGTTCCAGAAGGTTCTCTATCCGTCCATGGTATATCGCCAAATGGCGATTTCTCGCAAAATGGGGCAACCCTGTTTTCCCTTGCCATTTTATGGCAACCCTAAAACTGCTTTGCGGGGAAACCATCTTACCGCGCCTGAACATTTCGTAACAATATATTTTTTTCTAGATGTATATATTTATGTTTTAAATATGTTTAATTTTATCAAATCTGTCTATTAGGTTTTCAGAAATTCGGCATAATGTGCAAATACTCTCAATTTTGCACAGAAATACGTATTATATATGCATACATACATACCCAACCTCCTTACTTGGGTTAAAGGTCCTTACTCGGCTTTACTTTCCAAATCGTTATTCGTAGCCCATACTTCCAGTTGCAGAAGCGTTTTAATTGACGAAAATATGTATGTTTTGAAAATTTCAAATATAAAGAAAATTCATTTTACAAAAAATAAGAAATCTAACATTTAATGCGCTTTGCCGGGTCCTATACTTACATCTGAGAAAGTGTTATGCTTGTTACGAAAAAATACAAGAAATCTAACAAAAATTGATCAGGATATTTAATAACTTTACAGTTTTTTATATCATCTTCAACTTGCCTTAAAGGATCAGTTAATTAAGTTAGAATAATTCAAAGGAATAAATTTAAATGAAGTACAGCAAATGATATGTTCAGTTTAATAGGCGAACGAGGCAGTCATATGGTCCACATCAGATTTAATTAGAAAAGGCGAAGAGGAAAAGCATGTGTACTTTAGAAACAGTCATCCGATAAGTGTTCTGCTTTACAGGATGTCAAGTGTTGCCATTTTTAGTTCAAAGAGGACAATTTGCGCAGAAGGACTATAAATTTTGTTTTGGCAATTTGCGTCTATTCACGATAAGCGTTGTTTCACTTTTAAAATTGTTCCAGCCAAATATTATCGCCCTGTATTATGTTTACAGAAATTAAGTAATGAAGAATCTACATAAATGTATGTAATATGTATCTCGCACTGTGATAAAACAACGGTAGCTAGAGCCATCGAAATTTGAATAACGTAATCATCTATAAAATATGGGCACGTGGAAGCCCTAATTAAAAAATTGTTTTATAATCGATTTCATATTTTGTAGTACTTCAACAAATTTTTGATTAACAAAGTAAACGATTTCAAAGCGAGAAATGTCTACACTGTACTGAAAAAAGCATTTTTATCTCCAGCGCGCATAACTGTGTATCGGAATTTCTAAAGATATGCTCAATTTAAAATTATTTTGAGGTATTTCTCTTGAACTGAATTTTATGGTTTAAGTGCGAAGAACATGATATTTAATAAATAAACGTTAAAACATTAAAAACCTTTAAATGACGTAATCCTCCTACGAAAATGGGCATGTGGAATACCAAATTTGAAATTAGAATTCGTTTTATTATCGGTTTCATATTTTGTAACACTTCAACGAATTTTTGAGTAACAAATTCAACGATTTAAAAGCGAGAAATGGCAACACTCTACGGGGGGGGGAAAACCCTTTCATCTCTAGCAGGCGCGGAACTGTGTATCGGAAATTCTAAAGATATGCTCATTTTAAAATTATTGTGCGATATTGTTACTGAACTGAATTTTATGGTTTAAGGGCAAAGAACATGATATTTAATAAAGAATAACACACAAAACGTTAAAGAAAGGCACATTTGGACGTAACTTAAAATCTGAAAGCTTTCAGAATTTTCTGAATTTTTAAACATTTTTTTATTTATATTTGGGATGTAAATTGATGAAAGTATCCAAATGATTTGCTTTGATTACAGATGAATGTCTCCCACCTGTAAAAAATATGTTACTGAAAATGAAAAAGAGGTTATAAATTGTTGATTAACTTTTCTTTCTTCTACTGACATGTTTATTCAAAGTTCATACGAGCTGTTAACATACAAAAATATTATTGCAGTATTTGAAAACTCTGGAAAATATCAAAATGTTTATTTTAGTTATTATTTGTTTTGGAGCTGTGGATGGTAACGATTAGTAAATCAATCGCGTGTATTCAAATGAGGTAGAAAGAAGTAGAAGTTAGTATTTAAGGGAAAGTTTTGGAAGATGATTTTAGAGAGCGTATCTTGCCTGCCTGAAGGACATGTAGTTATCTTTGATATACTAGCGATTAGATTTCTGTGTCGTTGAGCGCGTCTAGCCATTAGACTTGTTTACGTCTACTTTTAGGAATCTACCTGCGCGTCTACCTGTGAAAATTACCGTTAGGTTAACTTAATTCCATTCTGTTTGAAATTACTTCATAACTTTTGAGTTAAGCTAAATATGTTGGGTATAATGCATGAGTCAGTGAATAATATTGAGTTAAGAGAGGGTTCTTTTTACACTCTTTCTCTGGACTTTATGATACTTACATACACATTCTATTAATGTCTAGTTAGCTTATGCTCTCGAAGAATACCAGACGTTATATAGCAGTGGGAATAAATTGGTCACGTTTGAATTAAGTAGTACTCTTACACGTGCTCATGAGTTGAAATATTTTAATTCTACCTTATTAAAATATTACAAACAGATGGAAACAGTAGTTAAAAAGGCATCGGTTCATTTTCAGTCATTTTGCAACATTTTAGCAAAGGTAATTCTTAAAGGAACTTTAGCAGTTTCTTCCAAATCCAGTTTTTCTGCAGTGGAGGAAAGGTCACGAATAATGTCATGAGAACACCTTTCGAAAGGAAGGCCAATGCGTCTCATACCATCTAAAAATGCATCCCGGCCAGAGGTAGTGCACCCCTTAGAGATATACTCTCCTACACAAGATACCTCGTGCAGAAATCGCCTGAAAGTTTAAAAAGAGAAACCTGTCATATTGAAATTAAAGTGTTTTATATCTTTTAGAACAGAGGTTCTCAACCTTTTGACTAGCACGTACCATCTAAACAAAAATTGGAAACTTCAGTACCACCATTACATTTTACAATGATTATTTTCAATTTCTGAATTGAAATATTTAAAAAACATATATTTAGCCATTTGGACAACCTATTGACTATTTGTATTAAACATGTACACAAGAAAAATATCAGATTAAAAATGGGTTACCATTTTAATTATCAAAATTTAAGTTATATTACTTATCTAAAATTTAGTGTGAAATTTGGGCCTGTTTAAGAGAGATTAATTTCTTTATGACTGGTCTCTTTTCACTTAACTTTGTGTTATTGTTGAAATCTTCAGTCAGGTTTCAATCACAGGAAATCTTTGTTGATTGTTATTTTTTCAAGAGATTTCTGAATTTAATAGCTAAAAATACTTTGTTTCTTTTGCGTACCACCAATTTTTCTCTTGCGTACCTCCGGCTGAGAATCGCTGTTTTAGATAATGCATAATTAAATATCATTCACAAATCTCGCAAAATATTTCGTATTTACATTTTCAGAATGTGTCGCATCAAGAGAATGATTCTCACAGTTTTAACACTATAGACGTTTAGCACGCAGTGCATAGATAACTAGCCTTATCTGTGAAACCACACTAGCTGTAATCTTAAAAATCATTATACAGGGTAGTTATAAAAAACCTTCCTCTATATATGAACATCAGTACGCTACCCGCCCAGCTAATCGGAATGAAATTTCAGGTATTGTTATTTGTAGATATGCGCTCCAGATTGTGACGATTTAACACCTTCACATCCAATCCGCCCCACACGGCCCTACTTTGAAACAACCAGAACCGCCCGAAAACGGCCGAGATTGTAATCTTGTTTACTTCTATCCTCCTAAGGTATGCAGTAGCAGGTGCAGTTTCCCCAAATGCATTGCATCAGTTTACTGCAGACAGTTTGTCCTAAGAGGTTTCTTATCGTTTGGTTGATCGTGACATTTCATTGTTCATTCTTTTGTGGTACAGAGTGCTTTTAAGCTTTAAACAGCAATAAAAGATCAGTTTAAAAATTTAAGGATTATATTTATTTTTAAACAATTTATTTCTTCCTATAAAAATAACGGAAAATAAACAAAATCTCACTCGTGATCATAACAAAGCCGGAAAGGTTTGTTTGTCGAACCTTCAGAATAGGTTTATAAAGAACGGGGTCAAAGGCTAATGGAATCTTTGTTACAAAGTACAAAGGATACCATTGGAAATCTTCACACCTATTTTCTGCGTTAATGGACGGAAAGGGTGGAAATTGCTGTGAAACTGGAAAACTATTTCGAGCGGTCCGGTATTTTGAGGGTACAGGTTAGCGAAGGGTCTCTGGATTCCTAAGAGTTAAAGCAAAAGAGCTTTCACGGTTAGAGTGAAAATATTTCGAAATTTTCTAACACTGACTTTTTTACCGAGTAATGTGGTCAGCACATTGAAAAACCATAAATGGCGTTGAAGCGATACATGTACGATAAAGATTGTCAGCGTAAACCATTCGAAAAGAAGGGCTGCAACTATTTCAACGTGAACGGGCTATCTACAAGAGACTTATAGTCCAGAGTAAAATACGTTCCTGGAGAAATTACTGATCGAATATGAAAGATATATACGGTGCCCCGCATAAGATAGCAACAGGCAAAGTGTTTAAACCGACGCAATTTCAGGTTCTGAATTCACTCAACCTCATAGATCCCACTAATGCCAGCACTCTTCGAGTCATTCTCGATGCCGTCATACAACAAGACCACCCAGAAGAAGATGACGAACAACAAGCTGAAATACGTGAAAACAACCCTCCACTAGATACGCCTAATGATGTAAGCTTCACGGTGCAAGAGCTTTTGAATACTCTCAGAAAATTACCAAAGAAGAAAGCACCGGGTCCAGACGGCCTGAACTATCCTATTATAACTACGATCATAAACTCCAACCTTCTATTTTTCATTAACTACTTCAATAAGCTTCTGGAAACAGGTACCTTCCCTCGTCCGTTTAAAATAGGCCAAATTGTCCTTTTTCATAAGAAAAAACAGAGATTCACATGATCCAGCTGCATACAGGCCGATATGCCTACTTTCTTCATTGGGCAAAATCTATGAGAAGATGTTAATAAACAGGCTGCGTTTCCACATCTCACAGAATAACCTACTGCACCCACGTCAGTATGGCTTCAAGGCAGGTTCTTCCACCATACACGCATTGCATGACGTCCACGCAGCAATAACTGATAATAGGCACCATGGCTATCATACGGCATTGGTCAGTATTGATCTTAAATGTGCCTTTGATATGCTGTGGTGGCCTTCCATTAAAAAAGTCATTGAGAGAAATGAAGTGCCCGCTCAATTTATATGCTACGTTATGCCATTACCTATCTGATAGAAACACTCATCATGCCGCACAACAGCGGGATTATCGAAAAATTACAAACAAGAGGTTGCCCTCAAGGGTCATGTGCGGGCCCCTTTCTTTGGAACGTCACTTTTAACACCCATTCTTGCTGATCAATGGCCGGATCATACGCGAATTTTTGCGTATGCAGATGATGCAGCTTTCGTGGTACGAGGACGTACACGAGAAGAATTACAAAAACCATAGTAATGAAATTTGTAGTCTTTTCCACTCCCGCTGCCAAAAGATAAAACTTGAAATTGCCCACAACAAATCCCATATCATGCTATTTCCAAAGAAAGGAGGTTCCCTGAACAGGCAACCACGTATTTGCATAAATAATCAAAGAATTAAAATAGTTAAAACCCTCAGATACCTGGGATTAACTTTTGACACTAAGCTCAACTGGATAGCACACGTCTTAGAGCTTAAAAAGAGAACAATGCAAATTGCAAATCTACTACGATCATTCCAAGGTTACAATTGGGGTTTAAGTGCGCATATTCAGAAAATACTGTACCTTACAGTAATAGAAAAAATTGTCACGTATGGTGCAGCAGTATGGGCCTTCCCGATGCAGGGCAGGAAAATACGCCACCTCGCTACCATACAGAGGCCTTTTGCGCTCTTAATTACACGAGCATTTCGGACCACCTCTACGGCCGCCATCAATGTTATGTCTGGGTTGCTCCCACTCCATCTCAGAATTGAAGAGGAGGCAATCATCCAAACAGTCAAACAGCTTCGTAAACAACTTACCTATGATGATTTTACTTATCAAGTGGACCAATACGAACAATTAGTCCTTCCTACTGCCGTGCATCCCGCGCTGAAAGGCATCGGAGTCAAAATTCTCTCCAATACTGCCGAGGATGAGCCAGCAAGCAATGTAAAAATCTATACAGATGGTTCCAGAATAGAAGATAATGTGGGCTGCTCATTCATTGTTACCACTGAAAATTGTGTAATTCATACCTGGCAAGCACATTTGCAATCTAACAATAGTGTTTTCCAGAGCGAGGTCGTAGCAATAAAGCATGCAATAGATTACCTAATTAATATGAAAATACCCACAGGCATCATTCTCACAGACAGCTTGTCCTCTTTACATGCACTAATCAATCCCGACCACCGATCTACCATTATCCAAGACATTCAGCGCACTCTTAGGGATCATCAAAGAAAAAAATTATTATTTCAAATGGGTTAAGGCCCATGTCGGCAATGCTGGTAATGAGCTTGCTGATAAGATGGCTAAGGAAGCAGCTGTCAACTCAAATGTTCTCAATCTTACCATACCATGGCCATATTCCCATCTCAAGAGAATTACCAGACTACGTGCCATATCGAAGTGGCAACAAGAGTGGGACTCCAGTCCTACTGGACGAAGAACAGCATACCACATTGCATATGTCGACCCAGACAGAAATATAGGCAACCCTTTGTTGATTAGATACATAAGTGGCCATGGTCCTTTTCCGACCTTTTTCGCGCGACATAGAATCAGTAACTCAGATATGTGTGTTTGTGGCTTACAAGGCACACCCGAACACTATGTTACCAGCTGCCAGCTCACTGCTGGCCAACATCTCTTAATTCCATCTACTAATACACAAGCCTATTGTAAATATCTAATAAAGCAAAGGCATCTGGTTCGTAAAATTTGTGTTATAATGTCAAAGCTCTCCTCACTGGGTACTGATCTATGCCAGAGTGCTTAACGGGTCAGTACAGCAACTGATTATATGTATTATATGTAGCTGCAACATTTACATGGGATGTCAATATATGCTACATGCTTTATGATCGAACATTAAAGCATGAACTATGCAGTCTTGCAATTATATGCACCTTATATATATATATATGTATAATCGATAAGGAACAGTATGCTACATATACGTGCCCATGCATGGACAATATAAAAACTTAAGTATATATTATATACAATTGTAATGCCAAGCCATGCATTCTAATACGTACTAAGGTACTATGTAAACTAATGTGATGCAAATATATTTAGTAAAAGTTCCATACTATATGTATATAATATACCTATGCAGTATCATGTTTCATTTGACAATGGAATGTATACTCGGAACAACGTTACGTTAAAGCACTTGTAACACTGTAAAGCAATATCAGTATGTCTAACTTTAAAGTAGTTTTATTTTGAACAATTTTCTTATGTAGTAATGGAATTACGTAACAACATATCAGTCAAGTGTATGCAAATCTATTAAGTGGCACTATGTTTTAATTGAACAATTTTAGATATTAAGTTGTTAGATGTTTAATTGAATATTAAATTAAGTTATGTAATATTATGTTCTAATTGAGATAACAAGAATAATTGTAATGTGTAATGAATGTAATGTATTTAAGTTATGCGATATTAAGTTCTAATTGCGTAATATAATTATGTAGTATTTTATGGTACAGTATTATTTAACAGTAACAATTTCTATTAGCAGTAATATAATGAAACAAAAATAAGTGTTTTTCTTTTAGGATACT